ATTGAAAAATGATTTTAGGGCATTATTTGATTTTTTCCTTTAGCAATTCACATCGATGTTCAACTTCACAACGGAATTTGATACGTTGACTGTAGTTACGGGAACTGATGTGCGACGGTAGGTCGTATCTCTGGGTAGAGGCGAAGCCTAAAATTGGGCGTGGCAATAGCGGGCCCAGAGCAATGGCATTTACAGAATTTTTTTTTTTGAATAATGAGCGACAGAGATTTTTTTTTGATGAAGCCGTACAATAATTTATTCGTAAAGCTGACTGTCTACTAGAAAGATTGTTATACTTTTCACAACTCTTTTGCCCTCTCCCCCTCCTTGCTCTGCATACGCCTCTGCAGTACAGTGGACTATAGACACATTTCACCTTTATCATGATTTTAGATTCTCAACAATCACCGGAAAACAACTGAAGCGCCACTGGAAACGCGTTGAACGCACTGATACCGTAATCCTCTACCAAAGAAGGTTACCCGAGAATTACACTCTCGATTCTTATGCATCATTTTCTGTGAAATGGATGGGAACAGATGGTAAGGGACCAGCACTTGATAATTGTTCAGGTTACTCTGGTTTTCATGGTCCCAATTTCACATATGAGGTCCCAAAAACGGAAACACTACAAACAACCCCTTTTTTGATACGTCTCTTAAAATTTTACTGCATGGGCGGGATCGGAGTTACGCTCACTAAGAAGGGCGTGGTCTGCCAGGACCAACTTGGACGATGCCGTTAATGCTATTTCCAATTCATTCATGGACCAAAATGATTCCAGACTGCACATGCGATGAGTTGGAACCACAAATTCATCAAGCTGTTCTTGGAGAGTGGAACGAGTTGACATCCCCTGGTTACCCGATACCATATTGTAGCGACCTAGTGTGTGTTTATAGGATTGTCGCTCCAGCTGGGTCGGTACATTCTCGAAATTTCCGACGTCAAAAATTTCTTTTATAGGCATCACGTCGTACTAAATATCACAGAATTTTACACTGAACCCTATAACGACGTACTGGCTTTGTTTGACGGTGAGAACACAACTGGGAGACATATAGATGTGTGAGTCAAGTACTATGAATTCTTTGTACAAACTAAAAACTTTAAGGGAGTAAATGCGCTGCAAAATAACAAAAAATGGAAGATAATGAAAATCTTGATAAAAGTAGTTCGTGACTATTACAGCATCTTAAAGTGTGAACACCTTTTTGAGTGAGAGTCATATTTTTTTGCATACACCGAAAAGTGTTGGCTTGATATTGCGATTTGGGTGCACCGCATTTTTTTTTCTTTCGATGGAGCGCGTAAGCAGATACTCGACCAATACCGCACGCGTCGCGTCGCGCGCGCTTTGTGTATGTGTGTCTCTGCCTTCGTCTGGGATTAGACTATAATCGCGTATTTCGCGCCCTACAAGTAATCCCCTCTTTCAGATTCCATGGAAAACGTTCATTCCCGTATCTGATTCGGAACGAAAATGAGACATTATCGTTAGTTTTCAAAACCGATCACGATGTCTCCTTCGATGGCTTCAGAATGCTGTTTTCAGCTGGTTAGTTATTTCTTACAAAAAAAAAAGAGAATCTTCAAGAAATCCAGAGATGGATTTTTTGATGAAATTATCATTCTTGTGTACTGAACTTAATCTCTTGAAATGTATAGACTCAAAACTTTCTGGCTCCAATTTACGACTCTGCAAAACTTGCATAATTTCGTTTTTTCCAGCATAAGCTGCTTTCAGAGCCAAACGATGACTACAGTCCACCGCTCAAGACCCAGATTCATGCGTCAACAATTGCCATTTTCGTTC